TTTCGTCTGATGTTATGTCAAGATTTCAGATGATTGTGTAATCTTTCACCATAAATAAACCTTTATGAATGACTACAACTAGAATAGAAGAAACCAATTTACAAAACCCTGTGGAACCGGTACAAAAAAGAAGGTAAATTGGTCAATTCGGTAATCAATTAGCCGGTTTAATTTGGTCCAACAACTAACCGGTTCAAATGTCTCTCTGGAATGCTTCTCTTATCTTCTTCGCTATTCTCTCGCCCCTTCCGGTTCAAAATTCGAAATTTTCCGAAATTTGCGAAATTCGTAGAGGAAGAAAGTGTATAATCAAGTCTTGTAGATAATATACAGAGAGAATAACTCGTTCCATGTATCTGGCAATCCAGGAAGACACCAGTGATAACAATCTGCGAATGTTGTCAGATCCGATTTCTCCTCTTGAGTGACGAGTTTCCCATTTCGCGACCCGTAGAATGAGGTATGCCCATCTTTCCTATATTCTGACATCTTCGTTATGTTCAGAAAACTAATCGGCACTTTCTTCGATTTCTTCACCACATTCACTGCGATTTCGTAAAGCTTTCGATTTGTTCCGACATCTATTGGTCTTGACATGTCTAGTATAGGCTCTGTCTCTTTCTCGCACTTTCTACTTCCTCCATTAACTCCCCAATCTGAACTCCTGTTGCAGTTTTTCAATGTGTCGTTAATGGACATCGAAAAACGAACGCAAATTTAGGGGGTTTTGTTTGTAGTACCTGATATGAGTTGGTGACATGCTGCTGAAGAAGATAGATGTTCGATTTGTGTTAATGTTTTGTTCTAACCAATTTACCCATGTCGATAGCACTTGCTCGTACATGATATTGATTCCAATTTCATCGTAATCTTTTGATCCTTCATTGAAAGATTCTTGTTTTCTTCAAGCAATCATCAAAGGTAGAAACTTTATCAAGAGTGGCAAAAATGGAGTTTGGAACTTTGGTTGAGAGACTGTCATTTACTTACAGAACTTTGATCTTGGAATGTCTTGTCCACCATATATACGTATTGAAAACGAGGTAATCTGCGTCTTTCCAGTTCTCGCCGTGCTTCGATATTGATCTAGGCATGATGATTGGTTCTGTTTTCCCATCTCTCTTGTCTGGAGGATCAGCGTTTGATTCAACTAGGAATGGTGCCCAGTAAAATGCTATTGTGGTATTGTACTCCTACACATTCAAAGAGAGAGAGATCAGGTTTGGATTTCTTTTGCATATACAGACAAAGACAGTCCTGAAGACCTCTGTGTTGAAGATTGACATTTGTGCTGTGTGTTTTAAGGTCTTTTTGCCTGAAGGAATGGTGGATTGGACCATACAAACCATGGACTGCCATTGATTGTAATGTATCGAATCACCAACGAACATTAGTTTCTTTCCCTTGAGTTTCTCTAGCAGTACCTTCCCGTCGAACCTAGAATGCGAAAAATAAAAGTCTCTTGAG